AACTTTAAGATGGCAGCGATTTTCATGAAGTGTGTTCACTCTGTATCGTTAAATGTGATAAAGTGGCTGGTCGTTGAATTTGCCCACAAACATATGAGTACGCCAAACGTTTCTATTGAACTTCACATAACCTTGCTTTTCCCCAAAGTTATCCACATCCAGGCAGAAATGGAATGACTTTCGACTTCGACTAGGTTTCATCACCATCCCCAGTGTGACTCGAACAATGAGAGAGCAGTGCATAATCTCGACACGTTAAGCCCTACGCCACATTGCCACGAATATTCTTGGGTTAAAAAGAGAAGGTGCTGATTTTGAGAAAAGCCGGGAATTTTCCTATATCACCTTCTATGGTAGGATTCTCGATCAGGTAAAATTATATTTGCTTAAGAAATCGGCTACATTGCTTATATTTCGTTTATAGGCGGGTTTTCGAATTGAATTTTGCCTGAACATGTCTACTACCAAAAGGACACTAGTCTCCAGCAAAGTGTGAATTAGCAGGTGTTATTCTTATTAAGGAGGCGAGAAAAATGAAAGCTAATAGGCCTTCTACTCATCACATTTTGAGGCGCCCAACTACCACTCCTGTCATTACTTTGACCGATAAAAGGTGTCCCAACTTCGCGTTAGAGACAAGCCCAGATTGACAGTGTCTGTGGCCTTCATAATATGATAGATTATAGGAAAACTGTCTACACTTGAGGTCTAATCTACTCCGAACATGTAGCCCCTGGCTTCAGCAAAGATAATTACTAGAAATAGCCATGCTGAAATTGAGCAACAAATGTACCCTGCACTGGGGAGATATTAGCAAATGACTCAGAAGTCATTGTTTATCTTTACCTTTAGGAGGCAGTGAATTTTTTTGAAACAGCTGATTAAGGATATTGGGTGAGTGACATAAGCTTCTTACACACTCCTTCGTTTAAGATGATAGTCTTTTTATTAAAAGGATTTATCACGGCAAAGGTTTAGATAATCGTAGTAAGAAGAATTTGTAAAAATTAATGAAATCTATTTATGAAATAAGGTAAATTACTATCTAATACATCATAATTTTCAACAGATTCCTTCAATTCTATTGAGCATAAGGTTGAGGATAAGGTTTAGGATAAGGTTTAGGATAAGGTTTTGGATATTGTTTAGGGTTTTGTTTAGGGTATTTCTGGCCACCTCGAGCGCCCTTTATGGCCATTTTTGCGGTCGTCGTAGTAATAGTCCCCGGTTTGTTCGTCTTCGCCTGATCTGCCTTCACCGTGGATGCCAGAGGAGCCTTGGTTGTGTCGCCTAGCGCCATGACGGCGATAGCACAGAAGATAGCGAAAATGATGGGAATCCGGTTCAACTAAGTAAACAAGAAAGGAGAATGGTAGAGGACACTGCTTGGAAACGATTTCTGAACAAAAAGAATGCAGGACTTACTTGCATGTTGACGTACAACTTTGTGATCTAAACTTTTCGATGACTTTTCGGAGCAAGACCAGCATTATATAATCTAACTATGCATCACGTGATGGAGTATCATGCCTGGCTTAAAATGAACACGCTTTAGATTTGCAGCACGAGCTGTCATTCATTTACTCGAAGACATCGTGTCACATTTTAAATGATCGCATGCTAGCTTTAGTTATTCTGGCAATCACTGATGCTTCATTAATAAAAGATTTTTCCGATTAACTAGTTTAATTATCAGTTACATGGTCACTAGTTTTATAGAACTATACGTATATAGAACTTGTTTGACCTTGTTTTTGCAACTTGGTCATATTGGTAGGAAGACTAATAGGAAAGCACCTTGTCCTGAGACCATTGTATGCATAATTATTTTCAAAGTCGGACCGTGGACACGGTACATTCCCAGACGTTTCGCCGGCAT